AATGTACTCCAGATGATCCAGCTATTTATAACTCTCCACCATGCATGTGTGCGCACACACACAGTCCTCTGCCCTGTTGTAAACCTGGTGCCTGGTTTCATTTCTTGAGACTAGTTTGTTAAAAATGCACTCACACAAACACACACTCTTGCATTTATATGTGTTTTTGTTCTCTGCAAGACCTTTTACCTCTTTTTTTAATAGGTGGTGTAGTTTCAGACTTTTTCTGTCATGCTGTTACTCCCGTTTGTGTGTGAGTGTGCATGCTTTTGTGTATGTGAGTTGGCACAAACCTTTACCAGGCAGCTGGGGGAAGAGGGTAATGGGGCATTTAAGACTGTTTTACAGGACTTGAAAAAAAAAACATGCAAATAGTTCATATGACACCTAATGCCAGACTTTCCATAACATTACATAACCGGTACCTTCTGGGAGTGAGATAAAAGGGAGACAGCCAAAAAAACAAAAAAAAACAACAAGCAAGCCAGACAAGTAAGTATAATGTTCTAATATTCAACTTTGTGCAAAATAGAAAAGCTAAACAGCAACAACAATAACAGATTGGCCAGTGATAATCATTGCATTGGCAAGACTATGTTTTCTTACAGTGTTGGCCCCTTTCTGCTTGTCTCAATGTGGTTTTTGTACTTTTTTAAAAGCACACTCATACTCTCCAGTGTTGCACACACATTGTTGGTGAACAGTGCTGAGCAAATAGTGAGGCATAATGAGTGTTTTGGTATTTGTGTATAGAGGTAAGAAAAAAGAGAAGAAATGGAGAGAGTTTTGAAGAAGAGGAGGAAATGAGAGATGGGGAGATATACAAAGCAAAGCAGATTATGCAATAGACTAAGAAAAAGAGAATATAATATAGAGGAGGAGAGGTACAAGGAAATTTGGGATACGAAAGGGGGGAGAGACCGATGCAGGGAGACAGAAACAGACCACCTCGAAGTAATGAGAGAAGGAGCGAGGAGGGAGGAATGAAAGAAAGAAGGTTCGAGAAAGACAGAGACCACCCCACAGTGAACACCAGTGGGAAGGCTACAGATTTCAGTGGCTATGGCTCTGTTAGCACAGCTTCCCTCACGTAGGCCAACAGTGAAGCTGGAGTCACTACTACTGCCAGGTCATCCCACACTTTACCCTTGTTTGTATATGTGTACTTGTTTATGACAGGGGTCCTCAGAACACCAATAAACTATGTCTGTGCCCTTGTTATTGCTTTCATCAGAGAATAACTTAAGAGCTTTATATAATACAAAATGATGCAACACTCACTGTGTCTATGCTTGTGTGTGTGTTCCACGAATCTCCGAGCAGAGTCAGAACAATACTGTCTACTATGAACACAAGAAGGAAACACACGTTTCCCCATTGAAAGCCACACTCCCATCGTTGTGAATGGTCCTATGTTGAGTCACACAATGCCCTCTCTCTCTGTGGAAATAACACTTGCTGTGTTGTGCATGACCTGGGGCTGTTCCATACTGATAGTCCACAGATCAATGCATGATAATGTGGTTTTATAAGATAAACATGAAGAAAACCTCTTTAACTTTCATCAGTAGATCCCCTAGAGTTCCCCATTCTCAGCCAGAATTAGACATTAAAATAGCTTAAATCCAATAAAGGAACTTTGAGTATGGTAAGTAAATTAAGTTAGGAGAAAGTGTCTGTCTTTGATAAACTGTCTGTGTTTATATTCATAAAGCGGGGCCACTGTGATATTGTCTGGTATGTGAAGAGTTATAAGAGGCTTGTGCTTAACGCAATCTGTAAGATAAACAGCCCCAGGCAGGAGCTATGAGAGGATTCATATATGTTCGTTCCCTTCTTCCTGCCCCCTTTTCATGGGGTATTTTCTGCTTTTTCTCACTTTATCAGCTCATTCATTTTCAAACTCATCCAAACAACCTGATATTTTTGTTCCCATCCCATTCTCCTCCATGATCTGTTACTTTGCTCTCCTCTGCCTGTGCATCTGAGAAGTATTAGTGAACTGAGAGGTCATTTTGTTGAGGTGAATGTGGAGGCTCGTGGTCCAGCTGGGGGTCGCTATAGTCAGAGGACAGGGTCAGTTTGACAGGTCACAGGTCATGAAAGATGGGTGCTGCTGGCACCGACCTCAGGGAATGTGTGTGTGTGTGTGTGCGCTCATTATGTTACTGGGCTGCCAATTAGGAATCTACCCTGATTTCCTCTGTGTCACCTTTCTGTCATTTTGTTCCTGTTTGCTTTACCAAAACTCCAAATTGTACAGAGCAGTACTCTTTCAAAATTCTCACACTATTACTTCGTATTTACATTTGTTTATTTCTTGAAACAAGTACAATGCAGGTTTCCTGTTAATAAAAATATCAAGCCCAGGTTGAGATGACTGAAATGACACCAATGGTTATTTTGTCAGATTTTGAAAAGCTCTGCAGCCACAGAAAGCAATATGCCTCCACTCCTTATCATATCTGAACATGTGTATGTGGTGTAGAGCCCCTTTACATTAAACCATGAAGAGCAAGTTTGACCTCAGAATTCTGAACCAATTTCATAATAAATATACAATTAAGTATGAAATAATAACAAAAGCACATGATTGTTTTGAGTCTTGTGTTGTTAATAAAGTTTATTCCAGCAGTGATGAGTTGAGTTGGAGGGTTTGAGCAGTATTTCATTTTAGAGAATGTCCACAGGTACAATTTCTTTGATTTGAGATGCAGGAGTCCAAAGCAGTCAATCGCAAATAATAGTGCGCACACAGAAACATAGGTAAACACACTTGTTATCAACACACACATATACACAAACTTCTTCAGGTTGAAATGAAACACAGATAATTAGCTTTAATGGGAACCAGACATGTAAGTCTAGTCTCTCTTGCTCCTTCTCCTTTGTTTGTGTGTGTGTGCATGTCTGCCTCAGCCTGACTTCCTTTCCCCCCCGTGCCTTTTAGTGACGTTGAAGGTTAATGCAAACCAGGGCTTGTTAACCTGTAATGAGGAACTTCAGAGCGAGCGATGGAAGTGAGGGACACACAAAGCTGAAAGAAGTAAAAAGAGACAGGTCTGCCTCTGTTGAAGTGTCTAAACAGCGAAACAAATGACAACCTGGGCGCCATCAATATGGAGGAGGGAAATGCATTTTGAAAACACAAACAGGCCTGTATCTTTGACTTTTAGATCAGTTTAAGATACATACTACAAGAAGGTATATACTGTGATTAATGAGCAGGAGAGAGTGTGTTTGAGTGTGTGTCAGTGATCAAAGAGTCTATAAATCATTGCACTCTTGAATCCAGAGGGCCAGATGCCTTCACACTGATAACAAGCAGTCATCCCATTACCTTCAGACATCAAAGGTGGACAGCAGAAGCCCTTTTCCCACTTCTTCTTCTCTCTCTCTCTCTCTCTCTGTGGAATATATTTCCCTTTTTGGTAAGCATGAAAAATTGTGTGTGCATAACCTATATGTGTGTGTGTTTTGAAGCCTTAGAGGTGACATTCCTTTATGTCAGAGCAACAGCCTCAAGTTTAAGATAACATGGCCACGGTGATCTAAGGGTGGGAATCAATTCCCCCCTGTGGCTGGAGGGGGCCTCAGGTCAGAGCTGATGGCTTTACCTTCTGCACACAAGCCGTGATGCAAAAACACAGTAATGCTCCCATAATCACCCCACAGCAACCGTATAGAGAGATGAGGAATGCATTCCAGTGAGTTTGTATCTTTCATCTCTGCTGGTCCAGCTGATATAGTGGTCTTGCTCCTTTAGGATCTTCACTGTGATATATAAACATTTATTACAGGACATTCACTGACAATTGAGGAATGGTAACTTTTGATTTTAGGCATTAAAAGCAATGTAGGCCTCATCCAGTCTTGGTCTATTTTGTCATACCTTCCTTGACTCTATATAAGGACATAGTTTAGCCTATGCTCTTTTTATATTGAGCTATTTTCAGGTGCTAAATGAGTGAATGGACTATTTTCATTTTTCTTAAGAAGCTTGCTTTTGTAGGTTGTATGATCCAGTGGCTTCTAATTAAGAGAATATCAATCTCTAAACAATATTTTATAAGTTATATAAAAGTAATTGTATTTTACCTTTTTTATGTAGACTTTCTCTTTCTGTAAAAAAGGGAGTTTTGTGGCACAACCTGAATGTGTTTTCATTTCAGTGAAACTTAATCTGTAGGAGGCCCGAACAGCAAAAATCAAGACATGGATTTTTTTTGTTAATTTGATAACAATATAAATGGTTTTATACATCCAAGTGCAAAGCCAGTTTTGAGTTAAATATCATATGCACTTTCTAAGATGATTATGTTTTTCTCATGGTAATTTTAAGTCTTATTTTGATATTTTATGGTATTTATATGTGGGGGGAAATAATTCTTCTTATTTTTATTTTTTAATCAGAATTGCAGGTTGTCTATTCAGCCTGCATTATGGGCCTCATCCACCCCATTTATCTGTCAAAGCTCTTGGGGGTAACTACTGCAGCACCTGGAGGAGACCCCCATGCTGACCTCTGGCTTGGAGGACATCTGGGAATATCTTGTATGTCTCCCACAGCTCGACATTTACTCTGCTCAAACATACCACTGGCTAATTATGGCTTTCCCAGATCCCTGAGATCAAGAAATCACTACAGAATAAGTCATGGCTATGAGATGTTTTCTTTTGCCCTCTTCCACTGTGGTTTAGTTAACTGGCGATTCAGCAACAACCAATGAAAAGAAACTCTCTGCACTGACCTAAAGTACTGAAATTATGGGAAATGAGTTTGTTTAAAAAAAAATTCAGGTATTTAAAGCAATGTTTTGTCAGAGTAACTGCCCTCACCAGTTGAGTCTCTGAAATGTACCAGTTTATTGTTCATCCTCAGATTGGAGACTAAAGTTTGTGACTTATAATGAATATATACTCAGACAGCTGTAAAGTATGAAATATATTTTCACTTTTTTATTCAAGATATTAGCAAATATTTACAAAACTCCAAAATGCACAGACTCCAAATCCATTGACCATTTTATCCAAAAAAACAAAAATAAATAACTTTTATTTGAGAAGGGGAATGACTTTCAAACCTGTGTAGAAAAATAAATACAAAGTACTTCATTTGCTGTGAAACACTGTCACAGGGAATGTGGAATCAAATGCCCCCCGTCCACCCCCCTCAAAATAGAGCAGTTCCTCAGAGCTCATTTTGTTTTTACAACATTCATAGTCGCAGTGGTCTTTTTTTTCTTCATATCTGTCCAGTCTGTCCTAAGTGCTCCTTTGCAAACATTACAGTCCAAGCAAAGAGAAATATGACATGCCTGCCTCTAAGCCCTGGAGCACAGTGGCTGGGCCTCAGCTGTGGTTGGCCTGTTCATCCTCTGAAAGATGAACACGATCCTCTGGTTCCTCAGTATGGATAATCTGCAAAGGAAATTACATTTTGATTAAGAAAAAAAAAACTTATTAATACAAATTAATTGTTGAATGACTGAGGTTGTAGCATGTAATGCGTTTGTATTTCCAGTGACCTAGTTGTGACCAGTGAGGTAAAATCATGTAACAAGTGTCAGAAAAATCAACATTTCCCCCTTAAAACCCTAACATATCACAAGAATCACGTATAAATACACAGTGATGGCAAATTTGGTACTGTAGTATGGGTGGTGAAGTCCAATAGTGTGTGTACAAATGTGTTACAAATAATGTGTGTAGCTGAAGGTTTGTGTACCATGTATGCTGATCTCCACTGCTTTCCTAACTAAACTAAGACAGTTGTAACGATTTTAGCCAAAATATCCCTACTGGAACATTAATCCCTTACTCAATTACTTTGAGATTTCATCTTGGTGCCATGTGTAAAATGCTCATTATGAACATCTTGGCACAGCTTACCGTCCCTACACAATGAAAACTGACAGGAGCTCATCCTACCGTTCCGTCTGACCCACAGCAGTCCTGTTAGTGGGACGTCGTAGACAAGGACCACGCGCCCCCCATCCTCCAGACCGAGAACGCGTAGCTCAAGCGCTCGTGCGCCACGTAGCTGCAGCTGGTCCCTCGTGCGTCCAGCTCGTCGCTCTGCAGGACTTGGCACAGGAAGTCGATGTACCGGGCTGCCAGCTTTAGCGTCTGGATCTTACTGAGTTTGTCCGACGGTAAGGTGGGGATGATCTTACGCAACGAGGTGAATGCCTCGTTGAGAGATTGCGTCCGTTGCCGCTCGCGGATGTTAGCCATCACGCGCTGCGTCTGCAGGTCATCAAAGGAGTGCGCGGGGCTGCTGCTGGCCTCGCTGTCGCCGCTGCCTGCGCTGCCACCTCCACCATCGCAACTTTTTCTGCGTTTCTTCTTCCCAAGGCTCGGGCTCTCCGCGTCCCCCTCCTCCTCCTCATCTATGCTCCTTCGCGCCGCCCGCCGCTTCCGCGTGCCTCTCCTCGGAAGCTGTCGGTCGTTCTCTTCCTCGCTGTTCCCCGCACTGTCCATTGGGGAGTCCTCTTCCCTCATCGTCTTGTATAAAACTTTTCTGTGGTGTATAGGATCGCTAACCCCTGGCCTGAATCATCTGAACTTGTTACAAAATTTATAAACAGGACAGGTAATAAGAAGCGTGGCCTGCACTGGGGTGTGGGTTGGTATTACGGTAACTCTCATGCGCCACGGAGAGAGAGAGGTGGCTGCCAAACTGGGATGACCGGGGCTCTTATAGGAGCAGGCAGGAGGACTTGGGGGAGCGCTGTGATTGGGTGATGAGAGCTGTAACATAATACTGCAGGAGAAGCAGAAGAATAGCTATAATATTAGGAGCAGAGTTTAAGGCATGCAGACTCCTGTACGCAAGACTGGGAACGTGGGTGTGGTAGGGCTGTGTAGATTTGTGCATTTGTGAATTAAACAGAGAAACTGGCATTTCAATCGAGAAATTATCTTTGCAAAGGAATTTCTCTTTTCGTTATTAGACAAATATTCAAGTATGTCTGCAATTTCCCAATTTGTTTCCATTTCATTTTGATTTCTGAACTCACATCTTGTTGACCAGAGTTTGATTCACAGTCTGCTCCTATACATACTGCCTTTTATACAGGTCATTTAAAATCGTTTTCAAAGTGGCTTTTTAAAAATGTACTTGCTTTTATCGCAAATCGGTCCAAGACAATGATAACATAATAGAAATTCCTCCTCAAGCCATTTATCTGTTGCAGGGCGTCAAGTCTCCCTGTACAGGCCTAGACATTGCCTGAGATGGGAGCAGTGCTGGTGGTGAAAAATATCAGACCTACTGAAACACAGGAGGTTGTCACAGCAGGAGGTCACAGCTCGTATAAGCAGATCGAGGTGTTTATTTTCCCGTCAGCGGCCCCGCGTTGAGGTATGCGCTTAAATGCGCCTGACCCCAGCAGGGATCTCGACATTGCGGCTCAGGTTTAAAAGAGGAGCCGTCCCAGGGATCTCTCAGGGTGGATCCGTGCTCACAGCGGGATCGCTAAAGGCGGTGTACGGCTGGATGAAATGCAAACATGAGCTGATTAAGATGGACCGAGGAGGCAGAGAGAAAGAGGCAATCGCACAAACAAAGCTTAAACATGACCACCCCACTGGTCACTGTGGTCTACCGTGATATAATATAAAAACTAGCAGAAATACCTCTCCATGTAATTGAATAGATCTGGACACTTGTGGCCTGTGAACCATCCACCAGGAGGCCTCGCAGCTGATGACAGAGGATGGCGCATGACCAGGGGCACAGCAGACCTGGCCTGGGCCCTTTTTATAAGAGGCACCACCACAAGCACCTTTCGGGCCTGGGTCTCCCAGAATTAAATATTTCTCTGTTATTCTCTTTTTCATGTGTGGAGGGTCCGTCACCTAGCCTGCCTCTCCGTAGCTTGTCTCATACCTCTCATCATATACCTGACTCAGTTTACACCTCAGTGCCAAAGACAATATCCAGCGTCGCAGTAAGCCTTGAATTTACGATTCAGATCCGCTGCATTTCAAACTTATTTACACGTGACGGGGAAGATTTCAAGGGCCAATAAATCCGCCTTATTTGCTGTTTGAGTAGAACCAGGCTGCCACAGCTGTCCCGTGTCTGACGCACCAGGTGAGGCGAGCGGCCGTGTCGCTCTCCAAGGTGCTGAAAAACACACCTGAAGCTTTGGACTAGCCTAGAATCGTCTTTAAAATGTCATCATATAGAAAACAGAAAGTTGTGTTAAGTGTTACAATTCCGATTTACGTTCTTAAAATAGTAGCCTACTGGATGTAACCTTCTAATATAAATAAATGCACCTTGGTCACAAACTTGGCAGGCGCATGCTCAAATATGACGCACAATACTATAGATTTAGTCAAAATGAGTCTGTATTAAGTTTAAAACCCGATTATTTAAATGAAATCTTTTTTAATCGTTGCAATGCAGAGGAAAGAATGCAGCATTAGCCTATAGGATCTGTTTAATGTAGAATATTCTAAATGAAATATTCAGAGAAGCTGTTCTCGGCTTGTTTTTGTCTATTAATTAAATCATATACATACATATATATATACATATAAGAGTGGGATAGAGATGATAAATACTGAATGTCATCTGAGAACAGCTCATAGCTTCATTCATTTGTGTCAGTGTTCAGGGGAGTCTTCTTAAATAAAGGTTGCGTTGGCCCATGGTGTCTCAGGTGCTCTCCAGCAGGTCCATCATGAAGGAGATGTAGACGATGGCCAGACGAAGTGTCTCAATACGGGACAGTCTCTTCTCGTAAGCGAATGTGGGAACTTTCCTCCTCAGTTCATCAAACGCTTCATTCAGGCTAAACATCCTCTTCCTTTCCCGCACATTGGCTGCCTGCCGCTGGACCACGGTGATGATCCTCCTCCGTTTGGACTTGGTGTGTCCGTGCGCTCCGCGGCTGTAGTATCTCGGTGCGCTCATCACTAGATGGTCGGCGCGGAGCTCCGCAGTGCGCGCCCCGTTTTCTAGGCTCCGATTCCAGGATGAGTCATTCAGCCGTGTGTGGTTGTACGGACTGGATGGGGTATTATCCACCTGCTGCCTGGGTTCTAAAACATACTTTTGCGGAAACTCATTCAGGTTCATATCACTGACAAAATGTATTAACGTGGAGTCCACTAAGCGGCCTTGCATCTCCATATTCAGTCCCCAACTGAAGTCTCACAGAGAATATCGCTTCTATATGTCTGCTATTAAGTCAAGCGCAAAACCTGACGCCAATCAAAGATTTCAAGACTGTTTAAACTCATTCACCAAAGCAGCAGAGCATTTCAGCGAGCAAGTCCAAACTTCGCCAAATCCGGTCAGAGCACGACAGGGTGAGATCCTCGTTGGCTCACCTCCAAGGGCATTTCCTGCTGTTTTAATAAGTCGTATACGCCACCTCACAGCGCGACATCTTCTATGTCCCCTCTATCTCTAAATAAAGTCCATTTCTGACATTATTCGCTCGGTGAGTGGATTGAATCCGACTAGAGAAGCTTAAAAGGGCCAAGAGGAAGCTGGAGGGCCTCACCAATTGATGTGCTGTCCTCATGGAGGCTCTTAATGAGCTTCTGAAGAACGGAGGCTCTTGACAGAGGGTCATGCAGTCTTGTTTGCACTCTCCCCTCTGCTTCAGAGGCTAAATAATGACACTTTTACCACTTAAACAGACCAGGGGAAGACCAAATAGAACATTCCCTAACAGTCACTACACACCACAAGCTTTTCTGTTGCAAATTAAAGCAAATAACTGTCCGTTCCCATGGCGGGACAGAGTCCAGCGCTTTGTGCTTGGTCACTGAAAGCTCTGCATTGTGAGACCATTTTTTAAATTGCTGTTTTTAATGATGATGATAGTGGTGATGACAAAGTTAAAAGATGCACTGCACTAATGTTATGAACTCGGTCACCCATCCCAATTTGTCAGCTTTTCTGAAAGCTAATAACACAGTTGTATAAATACTTGAACAGAGCGCCGGAATGCACGAATTTCATTAATTTTTTTTGGAACTGTACAGAGCTGAAATGGTCTTCAGCTCAGAGTTTAAGGTGGTTTGGGTTAAAATAACTTATTCAGCTATTGTTGTTTAGGATGGCCATCCATCTTACTGGTCTGCCAGGGTTGTGTTTGCAGTCATAGGGCATATCCCACGTATGATGAGAAATTGTTCTAAATACTGTGCAAGAAAGATTCAAACTTTTGGCTTTACAGAAGTGAAACTACATAGGTGATCATAGTATGGAGTGGTTCATCCCATCAGGGAGGTCATAGGTTATGGTTCATGTCAGAACAACACCTGAAGCTTTGCAGAAATTTGCTGTTTGAATGATGTTGCTCTTCATACTGCTATTAGGCTTGAAGGGTCACATTGGATACTAAGCTCTACATATTTTCTTTATGTCTGAATGTCTTCTGTGAAAAAGACATAATAATGAATGGGTTAACAAGATATAAGGACATTTTAAAGTGCTTATCAGGACATTCATTAACAACTATAATGTGTCACATGATGTATTTTAACTAGTAAACAGACAATGAATGCTGGATGACATTATTGTAATAATATGTAATGATGTTTGAAATACATTCATGAACAGTTTGTGAATACTTGTGCATAGATACTTTATAACACACAGTAAGAACTTCTCAATAATGGGATTCAAACTAACTTATATTGTGTCACCAAGTATTCATTGATTTATGGATGCTCTATTGTTATCACTGTAGATATGTTTCACTTAGTAATTCTGCTTATAAATGTTAAATAGGGGTAGATGAAAGTGTTACTGCAAGTAATTAGTCATCATGAGTCAAAAGTAAATAAATGCCAACAGTAACTCTGTGTGGTTTTCTGCTACTTGAAGTCCCTTGTGCATTCCTATGCAATTATTACATATACACAAGAGTGTCAGTCTTGTATACACACTATGGCCAATGTGTATCTTCTCCATCTCCCTCTTCTTCCTCTCTCCTCTCTGTTTTCTCGGCAGGCAGATAAACATGATTGGACATTCCTCCGGTTGTTGTGGAAACGCTGAGAAAGCACAGCTGGGTGGGAGAATATGAGGTAATCTCACCCTGGGGCTGCTGGGTAAATATTGGTCTTAAATAAGGAGTAAAACCTTAATACATCAATGAGTAAAACCCCAAAAGAGACACACAGCCACACACAGACACATATATTGGGGTTTATCCCAGTTTTGTCGTAGTGGAGACACAGAGGACAGACAGTCATAATGACCCATTTCCTGCTCTGTTGTGTTATTAGTGGTTATACAAAGTCAAATTAATGAGAGGCTGTGATGTGACTAAATGTTTGTGGGAAGCAGCGTGAAACTTCAAACTTTGTCGTAAAACCTGAATGTTCAACTCAGAGAAGTGGATTTTTATCATTTGTGAACAAGATTAAAGAGTCTGTGAGGCTGTACTGAGACTCAGCAGTGCTTTGAGCTAGCACCAGAATGTGAACAGCTGCACAACAGCAAGGCTAACATGCTGAGGTTTAGCGGGTAGCCTTTAATGTTTACCATGTTCACCATCTTCTTTAGCATGCTAAAGTGTGCTAATTAGCGCTAAACACAAAGTACAAAAATTCAGCCTCACCAGAGTGAATACACCCAACATCCAAATGCAGCCTCTTTGACCCTAAACCCCCGTTGGATATGTGATCCATTATCACCATAATACCAGTGTAAAATGTGAGTAGGTAGTCTGAGAAGTATGCACTTTGAATCCTGTGTGTTGGGAAACATCATTTCACAAATTTCACATGATGACTGAATGTGGAAAAAGTGTGGAATTCTAACATGTAAGCACTGTGTAGTCGTTCAGTAGTTTGTGAAGATATGGAGATCACTAGAGAACTTTATGTGTCCATTGTGCTGTACAGAGCTGTTCTCACCATGTAAATCTGTCTTCCTACTTCTCCTCTGTCCTCAGTGTGATGCAAGAATATAGCCAAATCTCTCCCACTACCGCTGTAAATCTGAAACTAGACACTTCTCTCTCATTCAGTTTCTTTCTCAGCTTTTTTCTCTCTCCCCTTCCTTTCCTCAGTTTTCCCTTTGGTTTCCCTCTACATTGCTCTCATTTTCACAGCTTGTTTTCTCTCCTTGTTAATTACACATACACATGGTACGTCCTTCACCCCAGCTCTGTTGAAAAAATTATGAGTTTTACAAAAAGCCAGTTCCTCACCTCACTCACATCAAAGCAGAGACATCAAGTTGATGTTTTTGTAAACTGACTGCATATAGAAACATAATATGCATAAAGGAGAAATTCTGAATGATTATCTTTAAACTGTAAACCTTGTACAGCACGTTATGGCAACACCACACATAATTATAGTCATGCCAATAAAGAAAATCTGGGTTTTGAATTAAACAATCTGAGAGAAGAGGGGAGTCAGACAGGGTCGGGGGGAGTAAAGGAGATGAGTTTAACTCCTGACCTATCTGCCTCTTCTTCATTGTGTCACTCTGACTCTGCCAGTGTTTCTTTCCTTCTCTCTCCACACCCAGAAGCTGACTCATTGGTTCACTTGTCCCGCCTTCCTCTACACCTCGCCCTATGATTGGCTTGGCGCTTTAGCTAACAACCAAGCATGTGGTGTTTACACAGCTGGGTGGCCAGTGGAAGGTAGTGAAGGACTGTGGTTCTTGTTACCATTGCTAACTCTGAGAGACGAGACAGTCCAAGTAACTTCAAAACAGTGCTGATTTATTCAAAGGATCACAGGTAAAATTAACATTACACGCTCAGGTATCTTGCACCTCCAAACTGCTCGCAGGCAGATGTAAGATGAAAGACCCTGAACCCACCAGGCCTATACATTATATCCCTGGTGTGTAGCTAAAAACATTCTCACGACCTCTAGTACATGTCGTGACTTAAACATAAGAACATATTATGGCTAAGGCTACAGTTATACACGTCATAATAATAATATTAAACACCCTGTCTGCTGACAGTCATCAACTCTTCTCTCTAGTTATCCTTGACCAGATGTACCCTGTAGAAACTCATAAGCATGACTAAGCATTTAACAGTCTAACTAGACATCCTATCTCCACTAAACATTTCTAATACATAAAGTATCTATCCAGTATCTATCTGGCTAAAAATATCTAACAGTAGGATTCATGCTTGTGTGCATGTGCATGTGTGGAAGTTGGATAAACTCCACTACCACATCATATATCTCTTTGCGTCCCCGCATTATTCCCCATTCCTCAAAACATAAGTCTCCGACTCACCAGGCCACCACAAGCCACAAGCCCTCAGCTTGTCCTTTCTCAGTTACCTTCCTTCTCTTAATCCAACCTGTTAGCTCCTACTTTCCACCACCATACTAAAAATCTTATCATGGACCTCCCCACCCACTCCTCACCCATGTCAGCACCTTGCCTCAGTTCACCCCCACTCTGCCTTTTCTGTCTGAGTAATGTCTGTGTTTGTTTTCTGAAAGGTCACCCGCTCTTTACTGTGTATTTTAAGGGTGCCATGTTTCATTTGTTTAAAGAGTCATATTCTCATGTCTGGTGCATGCTGAGCTGCCTGAGAGACTGATGCCAGTCTTTAATGATGATAATAATGAAGATAAGAGTGGTGTGCCTTAGTCACTTTGGCAGTGTCAGTTTGTCCTCATGCCATTTTTTGACTGTAAGTGGGTTTGTCTTGTTTTTCTTGAGATAAATCATGATCCACTGAATTAGGGCTTTCCCCTCTTTATATTGAAACCATTTATTTGAAATATGTATACATATGGCAGTTTTAGATACTAGATTAGACTTTTTTTTCTCAGTGTAGTGCCAGAAGTGCTTAAGCATAAAGACAGCACTGAAGAAAAACAACTTTTGAATGAATTATTGTTTACTTTCCCAGCTGCGTTACTGATCATAGGTAGTGTTGGAAGAAGGCCGGTAACAGCACTCTCTCAAGCTGCCACAACATTTAGTGGCATCCCAATACAATTTATCTTCCATTCTTGTAATCTTGCAACTTATTTCTACCACAGGCGTGTTAAAAATACAAACAACATTAACAGCCTATGCTGCTAAAAAGTTTGAAAAAATGTTTCATTAGTCTATAAACATAACTAAGTCCTTTAATTTGCAATAATAATTTGCAATTTGGTGGTTGCAAAGGATTTAAGCATAACTTGTGCCCTTCCTCAGCAGATGGCCATTCTCTGAAAAGAGACAGCAATAACAGTCTCTCCTCACATTAAGACCACCAAATTCCATATTCAGCTGCTGAAACAGGGCAAAAGCTTAAGAAGAACTTTGGATGTGTGTTGAGGTTGTTGCTTTCTGGTGCCAGCAACATAGTCAGGTTTACGAACTGCCTTAAAAGCGCAGTTCGTAAAACTTTTTTTTTATCATTAAATTGACTATATTCCACTGATAACCTTAAGCTTTCACTACAGCAAATACACACTATGTAGAATCCAGTAAATGGAACTTGATGATTTCCAGTGTTTTGCAAATTCTTAGCCAACAGAAGGAAAACACTTCTTGACATATCATGTTTAAAGAATGTGCTTATGTACAGCTTCACAATGAAAATGAAGAAAGAATTACATAGGTTCTGGTTTGGACAATTACAGGACGTAAAAAAAAACACAATCCACAGCATTTATACTTATGATAAACTATAGAAGCTTCATAGTTGCACACCATGTATCTCTGGCACAGGCTATTTCTCAACAACTGGCTGTACATTTCTTCATACTTTTCTTTTTTGCATCTTGTGACAAATTTGCACTGGACCATTGTTGTATGTCTCCAAGCCTGTCATCATGAAGAAGCTGGTTCATCATTGAAAAGCCATATTGCATATTCGCCATTTTTAGAGATCATTAATCAAAATTAACCTAGTTGCCCAAGTCAGTGGATGGTTCATAGATCAGGGGAGTTTCTTTCATTTTCTTGTCAATGACTTTATAAGTGTGTTTCCAGCAATAATGTACACATCACTGTCAGTATGACCACCCACATTTCACTTTCTTTTTATCTATACCTTTCCTTCTTTCTTTTTTCTCTATCTTGACCTTTTTCCTCAGCTTAGCCCTGCAGTTTGACAGTTATCATATAAATTTAGTAATAAAACATTTAGTTGTATCCTGGGTATTGTCCTGTACACGACTAAACATGAGAGCATTTTTTCCAGGCTAAAATTTTTTTTCCCAGTCTCAGCTTATTTATTTTTACTGTGGTTTTGGGAGGCTGTGGCTGAAGCTCTCATGATATGCTGTGTTCCCTTCCTTACCCCTCCTCTCATTACTCTTCTCCACTTCTCTGTTTTCCTCTCGATTTATATGCAAAAGGTTTAGGGAGTGGCAACATTTTTTAGATTAGCTTGTTGTTCCACACTGTGTTCACCTTCCCATCCATGTCTATGCTCATGTGATTTGGCCTCATTCTATATTACAACTGTCTCTTTTGATTGTTACAATTGCTGCCCATAGTTAAGATTAAAACCAAGTCACCCTTTTCACCTTTTGTTCTGTCTTGCACTTTCCCTGTGTTTTGGGTGTAGATGTTATGGTTTGGTCTCAACACTGTCTAGACACCTATGAGCCTCCCATTACCTCCTGATTATACTGAGCCCTATTAATCTCACTGAGCTGGCTAGCCAGGGAAGAGTGCGCGCACACACACACACACACACACACACAGAGAAAGATACAAGTAGGTAGGTCCATAAAAATAAAATATTACAAGCTGCATGATAAAGGGCAAATAAAACATGTGGAAAGTAGGTTCAATGTTATATGGATATCAAAAATAACCAAACAATGAAGGAAACATACATTAGAGTGAGATTTGAGCAATATGAAAATATTTTAAATGTGTACATTTAAATGTGTTAAATGTGTATCAAATACAGAATTGCAAGATACACATATCGTATGTTACCTTGGTGTTAATCAGTCATCTGTCTCTCATCTTCAAATGGTCCAAAATGCTGCGGCTCGTCTCATAACAAGTACCAGGAAATTTGACCACATAACCCCGGTACTGGCCTTTCTTCACTGGCTTCCAGTCCATTTTAGAATTCATTTTAAGCTATTGATTTTTGTTTTTAAGGCTCTTAATGGTTTGGGCTCAGATCATCAAGCCAGTTTTTGTTAGAGGTGCCCAGTGCCAGATACAAACACTGGAGTGACCGTGCATTTACCGTTGCAGCTCCTAAATTGTGGAATAGTTTACCTCCCAATATTAGACCATCTATAGACTTGACAACCTTTAAATCATTGGTTAAAACATATTTATTCACTTTGGCTTTTAATACATAGTATTGTCTGATGCTTCCTTCTTTTAACTATTGATTCTGTGTAGTTCATGTGTTTATGTTCCTATTTTGTTTTATTCCTGTATTGATCTTATTTATTTTAGTTCTTACCTGTCCTTGTAAAGTACTTTGGTCAACCAGATGTTGTTTTTAAAGTGATATATAAATACACTGATTTGATTTGGTATGTTGCCATCTGCCTATGTGCATAAAAAGTACCGAACATTTACTAATAAAAAACTAAATCCTACGTTAAAAACATAAAGCAAAAGTAAATATGTACATGCAGTAAAAGCTGCTGAACTTAAAGGTTTACTTATGGGGTTCCTCAAGGCTCTTCTTTAGGCCCCACATCCTTTTTTTTAGTTTGTACAAAACTGATAAAAGTGTTGTATCTAAACTCTTGAAGTATAATTTGAGTAAAAAATAATCATTTTTGGCAGAACCATTTGTATCACTGAGCCATAAAAAACATATCATAGAAATTGAGACAGTTAAATTGAATAAAGACTAATTTCAAATCTACATGAAAGGTTCTGAGAAAAAAATTGGGAAATAGCATAAGGACTGCATGGAGATGAGGAAAATCAACTATCCTGAATAAACCTGCTTCCAAAAATGTCCAACAACTGCTTCAACTGCCCCATCTCACAAAACAGAAAACAGAAGTATTACTACCTTTAACTTTACGTCAGCCATACTCCCCCAGTGTTGTTACTTTCTACCTCTGTCCACATGTGTAATGTGACATGCAGATGAGGTCATAAACATTTTGGAGATCAATGGATTGAGGTAGAGGCAACACTATCGTGCTCTATTATTTGACCTTAATAAATCAGATGTTTCACTAACACATAGCTACCTAAAGTACTCACAAAATAATGACACACAGACCCAAACACAATTACCTTAGTGAAAATGGTGTCAGAGGAGACACCTGTCTGTTGTCGCCAAGGTTACTGAGGGTAGGACAATGGGTGTTGGGTGCCAAGGAAACAAACTAACTATGAGAATCCAGCTCAATAGTAAGCTTTACTTTTTGGGTCAATAGTGTGTGTGTGTGTGTGTGTGTGTGCATGTGCGCTCGTATACGCATGTGTGCAGACATTGATCTCTTGGGAGAGAGTTTAGCACTTCAGCCCCGCTGACTCTGTTAGTAGGACTTGTTTGTTCAAGTTTAAAAAAAAAAAAAAAAAAAGTTGCAATGCAGGAGTTTAAAAAAATCTCTCAGAAATGCCTTTGAAAATGCTATAAAGGGGTTCATAGATGTCAGTAAGCCTGTGAGAGATGGGCTTTCATTCGACTCAGCCCTGCCTGGACTGTGTTGGAGGATATATGGCCATAGTTGCACAACTCTGACTGGTGGAACACTTAAGGTTTTATGATCTTCTGCCATTTGGGGCTCTGGGATACAGCAGAGTGCCGACCACGTAACTACGCCTGGCCAATAAGGGTGTGCAAGGATGAGGATTTGTGGATTGTGGATGTGGTGTGTCTGTACGAGTTAAAGAGCAGAAGGAGCCAGTGAGTGTGTGGTATGGGTTGTGTGTGTCCCCTAAAACCCAAGCATTGCATCAGGGTATCGTTTGTTTTACATAAAAGACTCAGCAGGCGCTTTCACCTAGGAGCCTCCAGGCCTGGAAACTAACAGTGGACACAGAGACACACATCCATCCTACACACACACACACACGCACACACACACACTAAAGACCACTCCTATCGAATCAGCAAGAGGTGCATGAAAAGACCGTCTGGCCTGCTTAACAAAAACAACACCCCTCCTTTTGTCTCATCTTTTAACTCTCCCTCTTCTACTCTCTATCAAAAGACCATGAAGATAAATGACCAAGTCTAGATACGAGAGCCCAGTGGCAAGAGGGGTGTCAAAAGTGGAATGTGTGTGAACTACTCACCGCCTCCTATAAATCAGGAAGACAACCAGAAGGAGGAGAGGGAAAACAGGATGGTCCGCATGAGGGAGTGACAGGAGGAATGACAAAATACATGTGGTGATGGAGGCAGGGTGTACAGGTGCAAGAGAGGTGCACGTGGACTGGGGTTGAAATTGAGCAAATGAGAGTAATAAAGGTTTGAGGGGTGTATGGCAGGAATACCAAACAATCAACTCAACTTTCTGGATCATTGTTTTAAATGTCTATCTTAAGGTTACAATTATTGTGTAATTGCACAGCTCGGCAGTGAGGGTTTGACAGTCTGAGGCCATTCTGCAAACACAGAGCTATTTGCAACAACTATGTGATTACAAGTACATTGTGGAGTTAATGCTCTTCTGCTGAAGGCTAAAATGTGTGTAGCACAGGCTTTTATGAGATTTGTGTGTGTGTGTGTGTGTGTTTTTAAGTGCATAATTCTACTGGAAGCAGGATAAACCATGTAACATTTCACATTCAATTTATTACTAGAAGCACTCAGGTCTTATTTGTTACACCACTGGTGTATATAACAACAGTAGGGAGATCACGGACAGAAATATAGAGAGCATGTTGCATTGAATTGCATACAATTGTACAGGTGTACCTAATAAAGTGGCCGGAGAGTATACACACGCATCTATATCTCTTGGTAACCCAGCCAGGCTGGCTGTTTGCAGTCTTTATGCTACAATAGCTTCATATTTACCATACAGATGTGAAACTTCTCATCTTAAGTCTGCAGTTATAAATGTTAATCATAATTGTCAAGGACAACAGCTAGTTTAAAACAAATAACACCGATAATTACTTTTCTGACAAGCCCTGCAACAGTCCTCTTTTTGGCTAAAGTTCTGTTCTAATATGGGAAATGCTTTTTTGAAAAGAAACAAAGAATTTTGATAAGAGGCACAATGGAGCAGCTGACCTCACTGACAGAAACATATGATCAGGAGTGACAAAGATGAGCCCAGTTAATTGCAGCTCCTTATCTATCCTCTTTAGACAGCCCCTGATAAGCTCTCAAACTCTTTGCACCTCACAGCTAATTAGACTCCCCACTGAAAGGTAGGGGGGGTTGTTACGTTTGTGTGTGGAAGTGGGGGTAAAGAAAACACACTTTTCTTCAGAGTGTCTCTCAGCACTTTATCACTTGACACCCACTGGTCAGCATCAAAGAGTTAACATTTTAAATGGATCAAAATACAGAACTCTAATTGGAGTGAAAATTTTAATATTTGCTTTCCTTATCTTTTGGTTCTTCATCAAAAAAATACCATGTGAAAACTGGTTCATGCAGCACTGAAAAACATCAGTGAAACATTATTAATGAATGCACTGTTTGTCATTATGATCCATACTGTGATTCAGGTGGAAAATTGTGAATATTAGGTAGTAAAAAAATATTCTTGTTCCCTTGTAGCCTTCATCAACATGGTCCTGTCAAAGACTTCACAGAGGCACAAGAGGTAAGAAAAACATGTTTCTTGAAATGAGTTTGGTTGTCTTGCATCAGTTTATTTTTGTCCCACTGGCTCCATATCTGGTACACAAACCTGGCCTCTCATGCCAACAGATGGAGTTGACAAGGCTGAACTCCTGTATTTTTGTTTTCTACTGTAGATGTATGCAGCCGTTGAGCTCCCTCATCAGGCAGCATAAGGGAATTGCAATCCAGTAAGGACTGATCTGTCAAGCCTGCATTTATCCTCTTTTGTGCTCATCCACACTCTACAAAATGTCTCTACAGAAATCTTGTGTTACGACACGTCAGTTACTCCACCAGTGTCATTAACGATGTTGGGTATCACCTCAATCACTGCATACAATTACCTGAATTCCAAAGAATATATGATCCATTTTTCAGGCAAACTTTTCAATATCACTTTTCTTCTTCTTCTTGGGTTTTGGTAGATCAAGGTCTTCTCTAAAACCAGATGTGACATCACTACCAGATTCATGTTTCCTCTTTTTGCTGGGCTTGTCGCTGATGTAGCCGCTGGAGTCGCTCCCGTGCACCTCCAGGGGAGAAAGCTCCACCTCCTCTTTCAGCCGTTTCTCCTTCTTTTTCTGCTTTTTCTCACTGACTATGTTTCCATTTAGCTCCAGTGTTGTGTTGCCATCCTGTAGGTATGAGGGCATTACCTCTTCCTCTGTCTCTTCCTCTTTGACTTTGTCTTTCTTCTTTTTCTGCTTTTTCTTCGGGGTCTTGTCAGAAGATCCCTCTGTGGGTTCTGGGGTGGGTTCTGTGCCCGGTGCATCTGGCTGGTCTGCAGGGATGCCGCACTCTGAACTCTCAGCTAAAGCCATCAGCTCTTGGACCCTGAGACACACACACACAACCACTGTATTCAATCAATCAAGGGTGTAAACACATCTTGAAAATGTACTTTTAAAATGTTATACAACCAGTTTCTACAATTGAAAACAGTCAGACTAAGAAAGTACACTGTCAGTGATACTAAAGTTAGATTTCTACTATACATTTTTAATTAAAAATATTACTTAAAACATTAAATGCTTATTATTGAGTATAAGCAAAAGGAAAAAAGGAGACTCCAGATTTGTTTTGTTGCCACCCCTTCTCCACCACTGCACACTTGCCTAGTCCCCTCCAGTCGTCCTCTGATCAGCAGGACTCCAGCAGTGTCAGCGTCCAGAGCAGTCACCTCAAATTCCAGCGCTGCTCCGACCCTCGGTCCAGCGTCCCTCCAGGTTTCTACAGAGACCAGGTTGGGTTTCAGGATGCTGGCGTTGAAGCAGCCATGCACCAGGCACCCCACATGATTTACTCCTAGTTTATTCACCGTACCCTGGGAACAGAAAACACGATGGAAATTAGGGATGCACACTTTCTTAATCAATAATCTACAAAATTTAAAAATCAATTATCGGCTAACTGTTAACAATTTATGACATACATACTCATATTTAAAACAGTTATCTTCTAATGTGATCTATATTTGCCATAAAGTCTGACTATATTGAGAATTTAAAGATGAAGTAAACACAGAGTCAAGTTACTTGAGTTATGAATAAGACAACACAAAATGATGATATTTTTTTTTAAATTGCATGGCTTCCACTCATGTCTGTCGCTTTTTAACAACTGGCCAGGCCAATTCAATGCTGGTTTTATGCAAGACAATACAGTTAATCACTAACATGTTGATCCTGTTGGAAGCATGTAATGTTAATGCATGTTCTGAACTTTAGTAGTGCAGCTGGCTGTCTGACAGTCGCCTCCCACCCTACGTTAACAGAGCCTGAGACAGCAGCTAGATCAGACAGCAACTTAGTAGAAAGTTCATGCTGCAGCGTTCATCAACGCAGCTGCATCAGTGTGAGCACAGAAAGCTGTGCTCCATTGTTTCTTTCTTACATGGCAAGAAGGTGCACTTGTTTTACAGCTGGTGTGGCTCGTAGTCGGGTAGTCTGCAAACACGTTAACTCTTTCGCATTAAACAGCAAGAGGCACATCTAGTGCTGTAAGAAAACAGCAAACTACAGTACATTTTCTACAGTTAACACCACACGTCCTCGTTTTCTGCATTGTTGGCTAACATATATTCTAAATCGACTCAATTATTAACAGCGATTATCAATACATCATTGGCTTCCCTAGTGGAAATAAATGGATTTGCAATAGTGGGTAACGTGTAAAGGTTGTTTTTTGTAGGTTTGCCTTCACTCCTACACCCACACAGAACGTGTGTTGGTGATAATATAGTTACAGACTCGCTGGAATTGTTCATCTTGGTAGAACACTGTCAGTAGTTGGCCAACTGAGCAGACCTGGCTCTCAGAGGTGCCAGCCATTACTCAACCTGAGCAAACACAATGTAGAAGCTGTGTGGCAAGCCACATAGCTACTCTTTGCCTGGGTGAGGACAGGGTTCAGTGATGCTTTGTGTTAAGGGTAGGTTAGGTCTGGAAAATGGTTTTGCTTATTTTGGGGCTCTGAAGATTTAAAAAGTAATCACCTGACACCCACCTCTTTGAGGCCAAATAATGGGTCAACATCATTTAACTTGTAACTGAGCATCCATATGAATGCTCTCCTATTCTTTGACACATTTAATGGTGTATTATTGACTGACTTTGTATATGTTACTCTTGTTTGCAATACTGGTTAGAGAAAAAAAAAACATTTCTTTTGTTGAGGCAAACAAATCTCACTCTTGTGACATGGAGTATGAAAGCAGACACATGCTACAAATGGGAAGTACTGTAAGCACCTCTGAATGAGACGCCCAAATCAATAATGTAAATGTAAATCTAACCAGAAGTTTCCGTCCTTTTTTGGGTCGGAAGACAATAAAGTTGGCCTCTATGTCCATGTGGATGTAGCCGCTGTCGTCATAAATGTCTCCGTACTGGCCCAGTATCCTGGTGCTGTCGTAGGCTAAAGGTACTCCTTTCATACTGCAAGAAACCCATGGAACATGTTGAGCAGGCATACAAACACACTGATACAGTATAACATGATGTGACACTGCTTCACTATGTGATGGAACATTTTCATCAGTCCTACCAAGTTTTATTTATAGCCCAGTATCACAAATGTGTCAAGTGTCTTTACTGCGTATCTTCCACCTCTCACCTGAACTCACATTAGCTAGAGGTTTTAGGTGCTATCACAATGTTAGTGTACATCACAAGACAGGCGACAGGCGACAGCGACATAAACACACCACACGGCATCACAAGACAGGCGACAGGCGACAGCAACATAAACACACCACACGCAGGCTTGGTTACCTCTGGGAGAACTTGAGCAATTCCGCATCCAGCTCCAACTTTATCCCGGTCTTCTTCTTGTTCAGGTACATAGCTGGCAGGGCGATGTGTCTCCTGTGCGTGTTCATGACCAAACACGAGTACGGCGCTGACAGCAGCGCGGAAGCGGCGGCAAATGACGGGATCGTGCACAGGGCTTCGCCCGCCTTGCCCGGTATGAGGGGTACATCGGCCGACTGGACATGAGTCCGAACTTCAGGGAGTTCACTAGTTCTCACGTGTTTTTGGTCGTCTTCAGCCTGCCTCGAGTTCGCCATGCTGCTTAGGGAAACCGGAAGATTAACAACGAGTGGTTTCCGCTTTGAGAAAGGTTCACCACATGTTAAACATTTGTTTACGTTGCCATCTGCTGGTGAAGATGTGGCATTACAGCAGAAAAACGGAAATATAATCGTAATAATAGAACAATTAAAAGTGATGTCAGGTTTTTAGTCCTGTGCAGATGTGGCGCTCTCTGGGGCTCAGTGGCCCATTCACTCATAAATAGTCAGCACGCATTCCCAGCAGCCTCTGCTGCTGTGGGCACTAATTATTACACACACATAATCACTGTTCAACACTCTCTGGAATAAGCAACCACCACGACAAGGTACTGAGCCACATAGGTTGTCAAGCTTCTCTTCACAAGAGGTTCCAGCTGTGTCTGTGTGCATGCTGCATGATATTGTTTTTATTGTCATTCCCCCTTTTATTTTGTGACACAGTTTTACTGCCAAGTTTGAGAGGTGCTGTAAAAAAAGATTTACTTCACAACAAGTGTGTGCACCCTAAGTAGAACTACACACTTCACTGTGATCTCATAGGAATGCTGGGACTTCCTAAATCCTGCTCTAAGCTGATTATGGTAACAGTGTGCTGTGCCTGTTGTCTATGTTAGATTTTGTACACTTGATTTTTAAAGTTAAATACAGATAATAAAACTGCTTAAATGTACTGATTAAAGTGCTGCAATGTGGCTATCAGCTGAGAAATAGATACAACTCTTGCATACTTACAGAAATATGCACATATATACTCAGAGACTACACATACACTAAAACATACTACACACATTTACATTCTACATAACAGAAGCCATCGGTCTTGTTCAGTATGATTACATGGGCCTAATCTGCATATTTGGGATCATAACACTAGACTCATCTTGTTGTTCAATGTGTATGTGCAAACTAATGTATCAAATATCACTACAATGAAAAAAATCTTGCATTGAAATAATTCATCAGCATCACTCAAATTTCATACTTTAATTGATTTCACTTTTATAAGAAGCACTTATAAAAATATGTTTGATTTATAGATATGATTAAATTCCTGGTATACAAGCATGGATATATATGTCAGAACATTCCATTATCAGACATAGGGTTTACTGTACCTGCATTCTATAAATCCTTAACAAGACAGAAAGAGAAAAATGACATAAGCACAAGTGCTTCAAAACAAAGGAATCAGCTGCATGCTTCTTTTGTACTAATCACTTTGAGGCATCTGAGCTGATAAAATCATTCCTACTCATTAGATTAAAGGTCAGATGATGTCAAGCATACGTTTGTCACCTGAATTGTCACCCAAATGTCAGCTCGCCATCCTGGCTTTGGTTTGAGTTGAACAGAGGGTCTTTGAACCCTTGTTTGCATAATTATTCAGAAGCACATACGCCTCCCACTGTCTGTCAAAATGTCTTTCTTACTGTGGAGGAAGACAAGAGGGTTCCAAGGCAAGAGACTCCCTGCGGTCAGGATATAGTTACTGTGTATGCCCAAGGACACATAAAAGGAAGAACTTGCTGCATTTGTCTGCTGACAGAGAGCAAGACATCGCCATTGTCTCTGTTTCAGTGTGTGCAGGTTGCCTTTGGTGATGCGTCATTATGGTGATGCTGCAGCAGGTCCGTTGTAGGAGATCTGAGGAACACTGTTACTGGTGTTATCCAGGATCTCCTGTCAGTGTGACATACAAGCACACATGGTAACTGACTGTCCATACATGCACAGGCTATCGCTGCAGTCATATTCTCCTATACCTTCTCGGTCATCTCGTGTGAATGGTGCAATGAGTGTTCCCTCTCCAGGAACATCCTCTGCTGCTCAGAGCTGGCCAGGCGACACGTCAACCACGTTGACAAGGTACAGGATGAAATCCCTGGGCAAGACAGGAAAAAGGAAACTAGCCGGAAAAACAGTGGAGGTCATTTTAAAGAATGTTACATGTGTAGGATTTCCTAGAGTTTTTTAAAGTTACAGTATGTAACTTAAGGTAGCACTAGCATGAAACTCCAAATCAATCCACTGTGCTCTGCTCAGCACTCCCTCACGCTGCTCCACTGTGCTTTGCTACAATCTGCTACACTCTGCCACGCTCCACCACACTCTTCAGATATTTGTCCTTATGAAATTACAACAAATGAGAATGCAACAAAACTTATTGATCAAATAGAAATAACTGAAAATCTCTGACTGGTTAGAGAGGCCAGTCCTGCTCAAAACCTTTTAGAAGCTAATATCTCTGCACTGCTGTCAGCGCTGTTCAATTAGTCTGGGCCACAGGAGGCTTCAGCAGCATCTCTCCACATTAAGAAGTTTTGGTGCAGATTTCTACAACAAAACATATTTGTAAAAAAGCTACATACTGTAGCTTTAAGACACTAGAGTGGTAGGAGAAATGGAGTTTATGGGAGCCTCAGAAGAAAATCCTTTTTGGGATTAAATTAAATTAAATTAATTAAAAACTTTTTTGCAGTAACACATGACCTAAGCGAATATTCTGCAACTACCCTCAGGCTTATGGCCCTCAGGGGCGCTGAAGACCCTGAGCTGTTTGTGTGGGGTTAGGTTTTTGTCAGTAATTAACACTGAAAAGGGTAATGCCCTAACATGGCTCCTGCATTTTTGGCCAACTTGGAAGTCAGTCTAGTAGGGTTAAAAACAGTGTTTTCAGCTGATATTATGCTTTCATGGAACCTACTGTATATTTGGGGTCCCCTTGAGGGTTAACTCTGTGCTCTAATTTGGACACAACTTGGACACATTAACACAGACATATTTCAGCAACTTTCATAAGTTTTCACAGAATGCACACGTCACAGTCATAAACTTTTCATGTTGTGTTGTATTGCACTATGGTTTGTTGTGTTGTGTAATTCGTTGTTTACCCAGACAGGCCAGAGTCATAGCAGCCAGGTGGACTGAATGCATCGAGTCCGGCCGTTTGCTCAGTGCCCGAACGAACTGGAAGTTGAGGATCCCGCCAATCAGACCACAGATACAGCATGCTGAAAACAGGATCATCTGAGGGACACACAGAGAGAACGGTTCATGCTAGTGCAAATGACATAATTTATATCGTGTCAACAAAAGTGTAATAAACTGGCAATATGTGATGAGACTGGGAGATGTACAAACTATTACTGAGCTTCCATCTTTGTCATTCTGCTGTTTTGGACAATGGCTGCTGTGATGAGTAATATGAATCAGTCAAAATAAATCTCATTTCCTATTAGAAAATTGCATTGCTCTCAAAGCGCGCTGTCTCTTCCAGAGATATTGCACGGCTAGTAAATATGCTTGCTATATTTGTGTTTGTGTATGTGTCTGATTTGCGGGCTGGAGGGTTGGTGAGATTTTGCTTTCAGTATCAATCACATTTTAGGGATTACTTCTTTAGAATCGTTCTCAGTAACTGGGCAATATGAGAATCTGATTGTACTTCTAGCAGAATCAAATCCAATTGATTTAATTCCTCTCCCCATTGATTGCGTATATGCATGTATGCCTGTGTGTTTGTGTATTGTGTTTAGAGAGCAGGTTCTCTTTCATTGCTCCCCGCACAGATGCCTTTACTGCCTTTACCAGATGGAAAAGGGCATCTCCAGTTTCGGTCATTATCTGGGGAAGTGTGAAAAGTGGCTGGCAGGAGTCCTGAGCCAAACAAACCTAATGCAATCATCACCCCACAGGCAGACATGGGAGAGAGGGAAGGGAAGAAAATGAGGAGGTTTGAGAGAGTCAAAGCATCAGAACTGGGAGAATAAGAAGAGATGGATGGTCACAATGAAAAAAGGAAAGGCATGATGAGAAAAGAGGGCGACAACAACAGTAGGTGGGCATGTATAGAGTGAGATGCAGGGAGAAAAAGGTTGAGGGATGTCTCTGTTACAGCAGATTGTGCTGACACTGTAACATCATTAGCGCCCTCCCTACAGGAGACAGAAAGTCAGAGAGAAACATGAGGACTCAGAGTCACTGAGAGACTGTGAGACAATCACTGAGTGAAAAAGAAGGAAGGAGCGACAGGAAAAGAAGTGGAAAGGTGACTGCTTGTCTCCTCTGGTTTCCTCAGATGTCTTTTTTAGAGCACCCCATATGCACCTGCTCAGACAACAACACATGCAAACACATAGGGATATTTGGCAGCAGGGGTAAAATATGCAGGCCTTGTGTGTGTTATCAGTGTGCATATTTACGCAGCATACATATATTTGCACCCTTCAGACAGCGCACTTATGATTATACAAAATATACACTTCAGAGTATAGATTTCTATTTGATGCACATCATATTCTTTTGGGTTTTCACTGATTATCAATGGTGTGCAACATTAATAACATTTCAAAGGAAAACACAGCTTTCCAAAACATAATGAATGATGATTTGAGTTCCATCATCGGCCCCAAAGCTCTTTTGCCTCACTAAACGCTTGTCATCTATTTCTGAATTTTGTTTTCAGATACAGTAGCTACAGCATCATTGAAGTCTGTAACAGATGACATGGATCAATAATGAATACATAAATCTGAGCAGCTTAAAGCAAAACAATAATAATAGACAAAGATAAAATAATGTTCTCCAAACATTTAGTTTTTTTGTGTGTTTTTTAAAGCTTGAAATGTTAAAGAAACTGTTATTACTGCCAGTAGCCATTTAGCTTAGCTTAGCAAAAATGGAAAAAGACCTATTTCATTGTAAAAAAAAACTAGAGTAAAAAATAACAAATTTCTATTTAAGGGGGTTTCTTCCTGCAGTCTCCTCTAGTTGCCAGACCATAAATAGTCTGGCAAATAATAAAATGGCATATTAGTGTCAAATTTTTGTATGGATTAAATGAGACGCTTGCTACTGCTTTCAAACCTGTTTTAGAGATATGAAGCTACAGCCACTTAGATTATTTTAGCACAAATGTAGGAATTAAGAGAAAACATTTAACTTGTTTCCAAAGGCAACACAATTCACCTACCAGTACCTTTAAAGCTCATTTGTGTATTTCTGTTTTTAACACTTGGCGAAAAAACAAATAATTGTATTTCCCAAAATGTTCAACTATTCCTTTAAGATACTGACTCCCCATATGTAGGTTTCATTATTGTGGAGCAGTTCCTGTTTGCTGTAGCAGGAATATGTATGCTGTTTATAGAAAGAGCTCTCACCAACTAATAAAAGAAGAAAAGACAATGAGAAACAGAAGAACAAAACAAAAACTATGCAGAAGTACTTACAATAAGTCCTGTCCTCTTTCGAGCACACAGCACTCCACACATCCCACAAAGCAGAAACTGAAAAGCAAGAGGTCAGTAAATAAGTAAATGTTACAGAAGCTTTTGTGGTTTGTCAATGAAGTTACAGGTTAAAAAATATACAACATAACCTGTTTTTATCACGTTCTCCACCCATGTCGACAACAGGAAGTGTGACTGTATTCCTTTCGCTCGGTCATTTGGATGCAGTTTTGTGTCTCTAAAAATAGAATGTGTCATTGTGGACTTCTAGCAGGAAGCCATGTTGTCCTGGGTGTCAGTGACTGAGAATAAACTGGAACAGCACAGCAGTGTATTATGGTGGCACAATGCACTTGCAAGTGGGACAATGATGATCTACGAGCTGTATGGTTCTGCTAAAAGTTGATGGAAGCTGTAATGTGCATGTATGTGTGTGTGTGAGATGCTTCTCCTTGGCTTTCTCTAATTTTCACTTTCTATATCTTAGTATTTATATGCAACTTAAAACCACTCTACTTTCACTTAAGCTTGAAGGTTTATTTGTGACTGTTGATACTTTGAAGAGTAACTGAAGTTTTACTTATTCGATGTCTTGTTGTGCTTTCTGGCATCCTATCTAATGGCTTTCATCAGCAGAATAAATTTACCAAGTTAACAGTTTTGGAAAGAATGTGTTCTGTGGACTTAAAGAAAAAGACTGGCCGTTTTCTATATTAACAGTATTTTCAACACTCCCCATACAGAGACTAATACTAACAGTCTCTACTCACTGTTAATATATGTCAGTCTGTTAGTCTTGAATTAGCTTATTCATCTGTGCCATAGACCTCCATTGTCTAAAAAAAAAAAACACGCCAGTGAAACACACTGCTGCCCTGGGTGACATGTTTCCTCATTACGAACCACAAGACCATAGTATTTGTTAAAAATATCCAGAGATCTTGTGCATGAGCCTTGGACTCTTACTTATTTCAAATGCTGTAAAAAGTTAATGGCCATTTGGAGCCTCTGAGGCAACATTTAAACAAATAACAAGGTTTTTTGTGTTCTGAAATGAGGAAACGTCACCCAGTGCACTGGTGTGTTTTACTAATGTGTTTCTAATCACATTTGAACAACAATGGAAATCGATGGCACAGCTGAAGAAGCTGATCCTGGACTGACAGAATGACAGATATTAACAGTGAGTAGAGGCAATGCATTGTTATTTTTAGTCTCTGTATGGGGACATGCACTTGTCCTCGGAATATCAAACACACAACCTATATATATATTGTCTGTCTCCCTATCTCTGCTTCTTGCACACCCACCCAAGTCTCTCAGATGCTCCAAACACTGCTAAACCCAGACACAGATGCTTCTTTATGACTCATATCGCCTGAGCCTCGGGCACTTACTGTACAGTAATTCCCAGTAATAACAAATGAACTGTTTCCCCAACTGCTGTAGCAGTCACGGTAAGGTAGCTCATATGGCTAATTATGGCCACTAAAAGTGTCAGAAACTCAACTTTTCAACATTCATCAGCAAAATCAAGACAATGAGGCTGAGAGCAGCACTGTAACAGGAGGTGAAAGGTGAGAGGATTATTGTAACCAAAAGCTCTGACCTTCCTAAGCCCTGAACAACAATTCAGGAATGAATTAATAAAACTGATCTTTAGCTCCAGCACAGAGGCATTTAGGGAGCCAAAGAACTAACAAACAAACATAATAGAAAAAGATACTGCGTCCAAAATATTTTAGACTGAAAGCACACTGTTACCGATCAAGCAACCAGCATGAACAAAAATCAGTTTAATACCCCAGTAAATCTCAATGAGGAATTGTTTAACTGTTCACTCTTAAACAATGAAATGTGTATGATATTAACAGAGAATTGTTTATTAAAGCACAAGCTTAGTATCAATATGAAGCATTTAAGTGAACACAGGACCAATTATAGACTATACACTCTAAATACTCAACTCTAGCCTATATTCTGAATGAAGGCTAAGAACATTTCTTAAGTTAAAAGGCTGATAGTTTCCTCAGAGTTTAGCCGTGCCTCAACACTCCATTACGTATCCTCTCTGAAAGTAGCCCTAACAAGGGATAAAGTAAAATAGTTGTTACCAGGACGTACACAGAGCCCGCTCCAGACCGGCGACGCATCGCGCGGCTGCGGCTTGTGCTCGCCCCGGACCCAACTAATGCCCACGGCTCCCAGGACGATGCTCGCCACACCCAGGCCCACCTCCACCAAGGACAGGAGGAGCAGGCTCCACAAGATCTTGCGACTGGAGCACATCCTGCCCCGGGCATCTCTCCAGCTCCAGCAGGAGGAGACGGACAAGAGGGGAGAGAGGAGCCCGCTTCTCAGTGCTCCGACGGCGGCGCGCGCTCTACTGCTTCATGCTCGGCTGGAGAAGAAAGGTTACCCGAATAACTAGGTCCAAGGAGAGGGGGAAGGTTGGAGCGAACTTGCTTAGCAAAGTGTGTGAAACTGGAGGGGGGGCAATAGCTGGCTATGCGGTTGGACAGTGTAAAAAGACACCCCACCGGTGAAGTTTCTCCCTAGCTGAAGTGTGCGTGTGTGCCACCCGGAGCTGACCAGGGTACTTAAACGCCGCTGCATGCACACACACATTCGAGCACACGCGCGCGCGCACCACACGGGGCCGCCAGGATTTTTCTATAGAGATAAGGAGTCGCAGCCTCGGCGCATGTGGACACATTCAAACGCTAAATAGTTGTTGAGGACGGAAGGTCGCTTTAGTCCATCAGCTGCTGGAGTCTACAGACTCTGGATCAGTAGAATAAACGAGTTAGTGACAAAATAATTAGCAGCACCTTTCAACAAAAACACAGCTCAGGGTGCTTTTCCCAGTATATAAGGCAAAAACACACTGCAATATGATGCAAAAGAAATACAAAATCCTGTGCGTTCTAAACAGCTGAGTTTTTTTGCTGTTCCCTGTGGAAATAGTTCTTGTCAATCTCATAATATTTAGACTTCTAGTCATTATCTCTTTTTTGTACAACTGAACTAAAATGTCTATAGACTTTGGTCCAGAGTTTCAGCATTTGTGCTGACTCAACATCATAGGTTTAATATTTATTCCTGGGGTTGAAACAACTTAACCTTTATAAAAGTCACCAGTTGTTGCTGTGGAGTGGAAAACCATATATCCCCATATTTGGTGATTTTTATTTGATTTTTTCTGTTAAGATAAATCAATGGATTACGATGATGCAATAGTGATATTTCTCTGTAGCATGATAGAGGTAGACAAAATAAATATATCCCAGTAAGAACTGCTTGTGCAGACAGGTACAACTCAGGTAGCAAACACAATCCCATAAACATACATCAACTAGTTCAAGCTTTCTATATGTGAATGTAAAGGTTTTTAACTGATCAATGATCAATCAACTCTGGTACAGAGGACAGCTCTTACTGCCTTACATACCAGCAGATTGATTTTTTATAGTCCATGTTTGTGTTTGTAATGCAACTTATCCATAATTCAGATCCTCTGATTGTTGTTCATGTTAGAGCACAATGAGGCATCTACTGTAATGGAGTAGAAGAGACAAAACTAAGAAAGAGGTGATGGATGTACGAGGTATTTGTCACAAAATAAATAAGCTGTAATATTATTGTTTTTAAGTCTTTTCATTGGATGATAAAATAAATATAGACCATTACTCTATAATATTTCTATTCGAACAGTCTTTAAAAGATGTCAGTGAAATTTTACAGAGTCACTTTTGGCCAGCTCAAATGTGGCATCTGTTCTCCATCATGCTTGTATGTTTGGTTACATAAGTATATTTTATAGCAGAGGCTTTAATAGAAATAGCTGCTGACTCAGCCTAACAGACTTTTATTAGTCAGGATAAGATGCAGCTTTTGGCCCTTTGCGTGAACGGTACTATAGCTTCTGATCAATGGCAGTTTACATACTACACATTCTTTCTCTCAGATTTTTTTTTTTTTTTTGCCATTCAACACCAACCAACATCACCCATCTCCAGCACCTTGGCCTGCTTTTTACTGTTTTAATTATAAACAGCAGGATTTTCTATCACCGGCATAGTGGTGGTGCTGTAGCCTACTTTTCCTGTACGGTGCAGTGAGCTAAAAATAAAAGTGCTTAATGTCAGGTCTTCTGGCCCCCCAGTGTGTTCAGTGACGAAAACAGCTCCAGGAAGCTGTGTGCGGATGTATATTTATCAGATAGGACCCTCCATAATGCTACCAAGTCTGTTGAGTTCATATACTGTATGTGCAGGCAGCAGACCAACAAGGTCCATCCTTCAGATGTGGCTATAAATAGATGCAACAAAAGAATAAGAAAATAACAATATGTGCTAAAATATTATTATTCTTAAAAAAAAATTTTTTTTTTTTTTTTTTACAATTGTTTAAAATATTGAACTTTTCCTTTATGGGTGACAGCTGGACTGGACAGGAAAGATAGTATCTGCTGACATGCCCTCATCCATCAGCACACATGATGGAGAAAAAGAAGGCAGCTCCAAAACAAGTCAAGCTTCAATAAATCAATAACAGCTCTCAAACTTTCTTTTCTCTGAGACAAATAGATGGCTGGAAAGGGAGGGGGAGGGAGGGGGGCAGCAGTATGTATTGCTTCTGCATTAATCCTTCACTGTAGCTAATTTCACTAAATTACCTCCTATTACAAGCACTGGCAGGACTGCAGTGTCTTTGTCTGACTGAATCACAGGAGCCAGCATCTTTACTCACACTAAACTATTTTAAAGCTGGTTTTAGATCAGTTTGATTGTTGACTTCTTCTTGTTGCAGTCTGTCAGCTGAGGGAGATTGAAAGGAATGATTCAAAACTGTGACTTGTTCAAACAGACTATCATTGAAAACTGTGCATACTTTGTACTTGACAGTGCTGTATTACTACAATTAAAGCCAGACCTTCAGGAAAAGAATGACACATACACAGTCCTGCACTTTTTTGTGTATCTTTTATGTTGGCCCAAGGCTGCAGCAGAGTGGAGATATATATATATATAACACTGTATCCAGCTAAGTGGATAAAGAGGAGGTACCTGGAACTACAGCTTCCCCCGGAGGCCCATTATAAGCATCTCAGTGGTGCCATCCACTCTCAGTGTGGCTCTAAATCATTAGGAGATATATGGCTGCTGACCTATAATGAGGGCACACGTCAATCTATCATCACTCCCAGGAGATGAGAGGAGTGAGGGAGATCGAAGGCACCACAGGCTACTTGGGGATTGTCTGTGTATCTGAGATGCTTCAGGCTTGTGACAGCTACAGGTCCGACAGCTGGTCTGCTGTTACATTGTCTCCTAAAGGATTTGGGAACCTTTGGAATACACTGATATGAATGAGGAATAATTGAAGTGCTCTGACACCATGTTTTCTGATGTTGGATTGCCTGTTAAGACAAGTGCACCAGTTAACCATGCTGTGCACTAGAGGGCTGGACTGTACTCCCACAGCACAGTAGTGTTTCAGTTTATCTTGTTCCTAATCTGCACAGGCATAACACAGCCTTAACCACACGTTGACTTCTTCAGGCAATTATGAGGGCATGAGCACACCTGAATAAGAAAATATACTCATCTATCGGAAAAAATGTGAAGTCCTGACATGACATTGTATAAAAAGGTGAGTGTCATTCAAAATGTTATTCAGTTTGCCACAGGTGGACTGCTAGACACATCTCAATAAATGTACAAAACTTTCTAAAAACATGTTTTACACTTTGTCATGATGGATCAATGAGTTTAGATGAAAAAAAAGACAGTTTTATCCATTTAAGATTATATCTACATCACAGTAAGGTGTGCAAAAACTGAAGCCACTGTGAATGCTGCAGAAGGCTCCAGGTGGTCTTTGGACATGCCTTTTTCTGTCCCATTGCAAATGGTTGAAGGGAAAATGGCAAGCATTGAAACCCTGAGCCCCAGATGTTGCCACACACAAACACACACTGTAACTGCCTTTCTGTCAAACAGGAGTATGGATTGTTCATCACTTATTTCCTGTTGCATGGTTTTTTTTTTTCTCAAGGAATGGGAGTGAAATAGGACAGGTTGTATTTCACCTTTTACTGATGACTTAAGGAAAGTGCCTGAACCTGAGAGGATGGTGTGTAGCAGTGTGTATCTGTGTGAGGAGTGGGGTTGGATTAAGTTGGCAGATAAAGGAGGAGATGGAGCAAGCACTGACGAGACCATGGCAGAGGAATGGAAGGATGACTGAGGACATCGGTATTGCAGAAGAATGAAGGAGAGAAGAACAGAGAGAAGAAAAAACACTGAGAGGAGGAGGAGGAGGAGGAGATGAAGAGAAAATATGCAATGAATCAGTAGATTCTTGTGTGCTCTGACAAAGACAACCAATTTTAATATCACCTCACCCTCTTGAGCTCACAGCAGATAGGCATTTAATTCACCAGGCCTTTCTCTCTATTTAGCTCTTTTTCAGTGTCCTCCACTTAACGTTATGCACAGGAGAAGCACACACTCCTGCTCAAATCTCCATGCTGCTCTCCTTTCACCTCATGACTCAAAGCTGTATCCATCACTCCCCCTCCCACAAGAGGCTGAGCTTGATGAGCACACAGTGAGACAGTGTCAGTCACTGAAGGTCAAAGGTCACACTACTGGCTGGATTAATGAATGCCTTTGCAGTGAAAGGGGTTAGTGACACAGGGCCTAGCTGCTTGTAAGAAAAGGTGATGCTTCCCTCAATATAAAGTGTCTATATTAGCAAGTTTGTGGAGAGACTAAAAACTGGAGAAGTAGAGCATTATATCTGTCCACCTTGAATGTAAGGTAGATGTGTTGCTGCCTATAGAAGTGCCCCCTAAACTGGAAGTAGGTAGTGTTTAAGCAGAGTTCCAGCAGAGTGCATACTGAGAGGTGAAATGTCTTTGATCTAGAAATCTAAGTCCAGTTGATTTTTTCAAAGTTTTTTCAACAAAATGAATATGAATAAAGAGTAAAATATTACCATTTCCTTTGACTTTCCTTCTAGTTCTGCCCTCTAATGCTTCTGTCACATGTTCAGGTTTGCAAACCCATATTCCTCAACAAATGACAAGAAATTGCTCTCTCCCTCACACACACAGACACACACATAAACACATAATATGTGGAGACATTATTCATTATGAAAAGTAAATGGAATAAAGAGACATATCACCAGCAGTAGACATTTATCAGCCATCAATTGGCTGTAACTTGTTTTTTAACCACAGCTGTTCCAGATATGCAAAACAAACCCAATAAATTATA